AGAGAAGATGTAGGTTCACATCACTCACTATCCAGTGCAAACAACCTACCTTCAAAATCAAGCTGAAAGCCCTCGAAGAAGAAGCTGGTGATGGTCCACAGTTCAAGTTCAACAACCATCCAGAACAGAAACTGAACTGAAAGACGAAGCTACAAAGCACATCTTCACGTCAGTCATCAAGACAAAATAGGAGACACTAAGCAACATCTCCGACGAATCCTGTGAGGAACAACTCTGGAACTCTTCCAAACAGATGTCAAAAGAAACCTGCATAACCGTGGTACGAAGGGAGAAGAAAGAAGACAAGACAAGGAATGAATCTCGACGGATCTCCACATGGAAGCTGATAGAGGAGAGAGTGGAAGATGATGAATCATGATGAACCAGTGCAAGGATGAGCAACGAAAGGAGGAAATGAACCCAACCAAAAAAAAACACCACTACACTGGACAAAGAAGTGAAGAACAGTGAGTGCATAGACAAAAGATACCTCCACCACACACTTGCAAATGAAGCAGAACACGCTGCAGGTAGGAGAGACAGAGACCTCACAACACTATATCAAATAAACAGGTTACTATCTGGAAGGGAAGAGATCAACACAGCACAAATGAAATTAATGAAAGATAATGAAGGAAATCTGTTTACCAAAGAGGAGAAACAAAGGAAACGATGGACTGACCACTTCAAAAAACTATTCAATCAACCGCCACCACCACCACCACCACCATCTACAACTCGTCATGAAATACCACCAACAGAGCAGCCACACAATTACCATTGAACACAAGCCCTCCGACTAAAGCACAAATGAAATCCTGGACGCCATAAAACTGCTGTAATTCATGAAAGCAGCAGGACCAAACAGAATTCCTACAGAAACACTGAAAACAGACTCACAGACATCAGCGGACACGCTCACACCAATATTGCAAAATCTTTGGATGGAAGGAACAGTCAGTACCTGACGATTGGAAGAAAGGCTACCTTGTCAAACTCTCAAACAACGGAGACCTATGTATTTGCAAGAACTGGTGCGGAATCACCATCCACCTCTGTCCACCTCAAGTAAAATATTAAACCACATCATCCCAGAGAGACTAAAAAAATGCTCTGCATTCTAAATTATAACCCAAACAGGCTGGCTGGTCACCTTCACGAAGAACAAATCATAACGGATCAAATTGCAACGCTACGCTAACCATCATCAAACAACAGAGCATAGAATGCCAGTCAACTCTTCACCTTACCTCAACTTCATCGATTTAGAAAAGCCCTTCGACAGCCTCGACTGAGAAGTAATTTGGCAAGCAGGCAGCTAACTAGCTGCTTCAACACTACAGTTCCACTACCACAAACCTTGATCAACCTCACTCAACAGCACATATATGCTATGCTATGCTACGCTACGCTATGCTATATGATGAGGCTACTTGTCAAGTGATTCAAAATGGAAAGCTCAGTGATCCCTTTCAAGTGAAATGAACTGACGTGAAGTGAAGACAGGAGTAAGACAAGGCTGCCACCGACTATCACCCATAATCTTCCTCATTAAGGTCGACTCAACTCAACTCGACTCGACTCGACTCGACTCGACTGGATCATGCAGCAAACCGTGAGGAGCTGTGAGAAGAGGGACATACGCTGCTTGACCGATGAAAAAACCCCAGAAGAAGATTTCCATTTCACCAACGATGATCATTTATGTCTAATTTCTTGTCACACAAACTCGAAGATCTACAGGCGAAAACTAACAAGTTGATACAAAAGGCAGCGCAGCGCAGCCCAGCGCAGCCAAGACGGGACTTCCTTCAGGTGAACCTAGAGAAGACAGGGGTGATGAAGATACCCAACCACCACCACCAACAACAACAACAACAATCACCAATCACTGTTATGTGGAGAAACCTAAAGGAAGTAGTCTCTTTCACCTACCTACCCACCTACCTAGGTAGCATCGTAACAAATACAGGCGACACAGGCACAGATCACCACGTCAAAGCCACGATCATAAAGACAAGATAGCAGGCCTTCATTCACCTGAAATCAGTGTGGAGACCTACTCCACTCCACTCCACTCAGCATAAAGCATGAACAATATCCTGACTTCCAACACTAATTCAGTCAAGTAATTCAGTGCTTCTGTTTGATGGTTTAGAGACTTGACGCGTCACGAAGAGCACTTCCAACGAACTACAGAAAGTCACCAACAGCTGCTGTACACGCCCACTCGACACTGACACTGAAGATCGGTGAGATGGCCAGAATAATGAGAATAAGCAACAAAGAACTCACCCTGACCGGACAACATATCAACTAAGAACCCATCACTCAACAAATATGCAGAAGAAAGTGGAGGTGGATTCGATTGGGCATACACTGAGAAGAACACTCGAGGACATCAGGTGTCAGGCTAGGCCCTCAAGTGGGACCTGCATGGGAAACGAGTTGAGCGTCCGAGCTGAGAGTGACATGGAGGAGATGATGTGAGGAAGTTATGAAAGCTTGTGGGGGAGTCGTAGAGCCAGGTTCAAAAGACCGCAGAGAAGAGAGTGAAATGGAGACGTGCTACTGAAAGCCTAAGTTCCACTAGGAACCCAAGGGAAAAATAATAATCAGTTGACTACGAATCCAAGAATCTTAGATTTTATGTCAGGTAAACTGATTCTCCTATGATTCAAAATGAAAACGTTTCTCCCTCCTTATGAACTGGAATGACGAAAGGAGTACCTCAGACCACCACACAGCAGTGCGTATGTCCGTTACTCTGTCCAATAACTGTCCACCTTTATACTCGAAAGCGTTTAGTGGCGAACAGTCAATTCTCATTACTTTGCAGTACCTCAGGTTCGAAGCAGCTTTTTCATCCTCAGTAAAAGTAAGCGCACTACAATTAATGTCCCATTTAGGTTACTAGAGGATTTCAAGCAACCGAATCATGACTGCAGACCAATTTAACTGTTTTTTCTAAGTACTCCATTGAACTGATGAACATTCAGACCAGAGTTGTTACGAATGTCCTGGAAGAAGTAGAGCACCGAGTCTGATTTAATCACTACAAAAATATATTTTGGTATAATCCCAGTCCAAACACGCTAGAATTAGATTATGAGATATTTTTATATTTCACTACACGTTCCAACCATCTGTGACAGTTATCAGCGACCCATCCATTTTCGTGACAGTTTCACTAACTATATGAGCCTCCTTGATTAATTTGGTTGATTACTGAGTTTTACTTATTGCCAGTGCCTTCCTCATTTCTTTCGGATTCTATATAAACTACCGCTAGCAGTCATTACAGAGATTCTTCTTCAATCTACGTTTAAATTGCTTTTATTCCTCACTGTGGTCATAGCTATCTGGAATAAGTCTTCTCGTAGTAGTATATTCTGTGTGGTTTTGAAAATTCACTATCTTTTGACAACTTTGTGACGTAGGTTACTAATTACCTTCCCCACTGTCTCCACAGGGGTTTGAATATTACTCCAGGCTTCATCCTGATGACTACCACCACTATACTCAGATAAACACCTAATAATCTTTTCATATACAGACTTGCTGTTGTCATATTGAAGCTAAACACAGAAGGACGCTACCGTTGTTTGATTGTTGTGTCCGTCAAGGCGTAAGTGCTTACATTCCCATAATAGGGTGTAATCAGACAGAGTCCAGGTAGGTATTCCAAAGATAGTAGCAATCCTCCACCGATATTCTCAAACTGTAGCTCATGGCAATATGATTCATCTGTATCCACAATTAGTTTGATGTAAGAAGACACCAAGTGAGACCATGTCTTTCCTTATGTTTGAAGTTATCTCTGGTCAAAGACAAGCGATTTTCATATAAAAGCTGTAGGAACATATTAATATTGTCGACTTGCTGGCACGGAATACAGTCATAACTTCCAAGATCCATTCCCCATTGGTCCAGCCTACCTACTTGGGAGTTGAAATCACCCGCTACTATGAAAATATCAAAACGTTTTATTTTCAGCAAAATCTACTGATTTTGGTTGAACTCATCATTTGCACCATCCAAACCACAGTTGACGGGAGCGTAGGGAGAGACGACGAAGAGACGTGGATGAGTAAAGTGTTTTCCACTTCTTACTGATCCATTCAGTTGAACAACGCATAGTCAACTGTTATCTAGTATTCAATCGAGAAGTAAGCTCTCCACTCTTTATCCATCTTTTAAAATAATATATACCTGAGTTAGTCAAAATACTCCAAAGATGTTCACTACTGGTGTGTTGCTGGGACACAAGAAATATGTGACACAAAGTCTACATTATGTGCAAGAAGCTTTTGTTAAATCGAGTCCTCAAACTTGGTCTTAACAAAACTTTTAAACCAGTTTTTTATTTAACTTTGTAACCTTGTTACTGTTGTTACTTCACATTGCTCAACAGAACTTGATTCTGATGTCATCTCTTCAGATTATTTTCTTCCTTTGACCACTGCTGTTTGTATTTTGTCTACTCTAACCTGTTATTCTATTAAATCTACGCAGACGTTGCAGTTTGTTGTAGAATCAATTGTCATTTTAACAAACAAAAATACAAACGTACAGCATGATAATAAATTCGTTGAAAAGGATTATCTCGTCACTGAAAAAATTCTGTTATTCTATGAATATGTTATTTTTTTAATTCAAATATCAGCATTAAGGATTTGGTGGTTGCACAATGTACAAGTAATACGCTAAAATAACCAGCAATTAATAATCTGCCTAATCTGTTAGCAGTAAGCTTTGACTACTAAAAGATAAGAGCCTTTAGTGATCTTTTCAAACAAGTACTGTTACACGACGAATATCTGCGTAAATTTTTATGCTAAATTTCCACTATGAGCTCATTTGCTGACAAACACACTATCCTCTAAATACTACACACAAAACTCTGCTGGAATTTGATAAATTACATGCCTTTATCATACTTTTTTTTTCAATATTAATAACAACATCAATCATTTATATTATTGTACATCAACACATACCTTTACATGTCCAGTAGGGAGATCAATAAAACTGAGAAATATTTCATCCATTCGATGTTCAACTGTTGAGAATTTATTCTTTTCATTGGCATTGTTAACATTATTCACGTTTTTCGAATTTTTATCTTCATATAAATAAAATAGTTTAATCGATCCAGCCATTTGTTCAGTTTGTTGACAACCGCATGCACTAAATGAATTTGACCGATAACGACTTTGTTTACATGGTGTAGTTCTAAATCTTTGTATCCCTTTACCAAATAAATAATAATAATAATAATAATGATAATAGTAATAATGGCAGTCACAACAGCAATCTGGATAAAAGGAATGACAATCTTCCAAGTTATGATTATAGTATTTGTGGTAGTAAATTGACATACTAGCTGCAAATGTATTTGTCTAAAGTGTCAACAAAATGATAGTTGAAAAAAGTTCACCTCATTATGTTGTAATCTGCTCGATGGTTAGCAGTGGAATCCAGGAAGCTCGTTTAGTCCTTTTTAGGGCTCGTCAGCTGGATGTACCTGCACCCCAGTGACTGACGTTGTTCCCATTGAGACTTGAACCCAGTACCCATCGCTTCAAAAGCGTCAGAGCGTCACCCACTAGACCACTGGATCCCACTGTTAGTCACCAGGTAGATTACAGAATAATGAGTAACCGGGCAGGTCCAGGTCTCCGCATAGGAGCTCGTCTGCCAACAGAGGCCGAGGAATTCGACCCAATATAGCAACGGGGGATTACAAGTATCAGACGAAGTTCACCTCTATTCTAAGTCCCAGAGATAATAATAGGCATCTCATCGAAATATGCCACTGACAATACAAAAGAATGATAAATTGGTTATAGATCAATAAATATAATTCGTTAACATATCCAAATCGAGAGGATTGGTATAAGATCACGCTGAACAGTATGAAGAAACCATCAAAAAAATAAACCATTCAAAGTTTCGTTTAATACAGGTTCCTGGTTCTCAATGGGTTTCTAGATGAAGTCAATCAGTAATGAGAACTGTCTTAGATACAAACGAAGATAATTCACTGGACTGAAATAAAATTATTATTATTATTATTATGGTTTTTAGTTTTCCGCTGTTACTTTGTTTGAATCAGGAGTCGCAATACCAAAGTATACATGTATCATAATGAATGGCTACAACAACTTAGCAGTTTAGTGCATAATGCCCTGGTATTCAAAGCGAAACGTCATGGGTTCAAGTCTCAGTGGAAACAACAACGTGGATGGATACAAATGAAACTGAGAATCCTAAGTGTGACAAAATAAGTCACCCAAACTCGAATGCTATTTATTATCCACTGTAAGTTATTCAATTATGGCAACATAGTTTGTTTTTTGTCTGGGGAAACAACATAATTTGCTTTCGGAAAGAGAACTAATAAATTAACTTTTTGTTTGGTAATTGCTTCATTTGCCTTCAATGATTTTCTGAAAAACAGAGTGAGTGAATGATGCATTGGTGTATGTACATAATTCGTTATGATTGTTTCATTATGAGACGGATATTGACTAGTGAACTGTCTTAAGCAGAAGTAAAAGAAAGTGGCATAGTGTTTTCATTTAACAGTCTAGGAACAAACTGGTAGCTGCAATTATCTCTTGAGGTGTCGTGTCACAGTGCGAAAAACAATGGCTCTTAACACTTTAGCTTCATCCTTCTATTTTCTAAACATAACTATTTGGTATTCGTCATGCAGTGATGTGAAGAATATGCTGAGCTCTATATGTTATGGCGATTTATTCGGTAAATCTAAGAACTATCGTTGTAGATCCATGCTATCTGTACACTATGCTAATACTGAGCTATGGCTGATATCAAATTGAACATACAATAATAATTACTTTATTCCAGACAATAACTTTCAAAACGGAAAAGGAATTCTCAGTTGGTAGTATTTCAACAAATTTACTCGTGGCATCTAAATAATGCTAATCACAGCAGTATGATAGGTAACAATACAAAACAACCAGTTGTCTTCAGGTTATCGTCTAGTTTGTGAGTACGTTGCTGAACGGGGGCAAACCAAAAGGCACTCATAAGTTTGGCAGTGGAGGTTCATCCATGCAGTATGAAAAGATTTGCAGTTCCAGCTAACAAGTGCTGTAATAGCTATGTGATGTACTGCTGTGCGCTGAGGCTGAATTCCACCCATAGTGATATTTTCTCATAATTTTCTTAGCAACTTGTTTAATGGTAGGTCGAAGACACTTTAAGAATCCATGAGATATGTTGATATTTGAAGGATTAAAGCAAGTAAACAAAAGGCCCAATTTACTGAAATAAATCTGATGAAAACGTTTTGGTGACCAAAAATTCAAGCTGGCCGCCAATTAGTTATCTTGGACGAGATAATCATTTAGTTAGTTTTCATTTCTCTTTAGAAGGTACGTCCGAAGCTACTTCGAGTAATTGTTATGGCCAATTTATATATCTCAATAGAAACCTTTTTAAAGAATCATCATTTCACTACAGTCTTGTGCAGTTATCACCATACACTACTCAACCTTATTGTTACAGGTTTGTTATTACATAAAACCAAAATATGTTGAAAATTGAAAACTCATTAGAAGAAATGACAATACAACTGAAAGTAAATTTCAAAGCAATTTCTATCTGTTAACTGTAATGCTTCGATACATTTTACGAGTCCAAAGTGAATGTTTACAAGAGGTATTATTCACAGAAAACAAGGACTTTTGGAGCTGCTCACTCAGAAAAATAAAGATAGCGTCTACGACTGAGTACAATGGCAAACAGCTGGACTGCTTCTTTCCCTTCAGAAAGCTTATATATAGATGCTTCCTTAAGATCTCCGGCTCCGCCTAACATCAAACTTCTGCAAAGGTCAAATAGAATAATTTTTTAACCGTCATGTAGATGTAATTTCAGTAGGGCGAAATTGATAGCCACTAAAAATAACTTAGGTAAAAAGTCTAATAAATACATGAAACTATAGATACTACAATCGAAATTCCCTATCAACTTTCCCATAAATTTCATAAAATCGAGAAAGCATTTCATCCTAACAAATTAAAGTGTTGTGCCACAGCACTTTCGGAATAACAGGCAGACAGATAAAAAATCAGTATAAGACCAGGTAGTAGTGCTTAGCAGTGTGACTTATTACACCTCATATCAGCACGTCAAGCGAAAGTGTACCAAGGTGACAGATAAGGAAGTAAAGACTAAAGCAGTTAAAAGTGGTAAAAAGCATCAAAAGAGAGAAGGGAGGAATGAGAAAACAGTGGACTAAGTATGACGACTTAGGTCAAGATGATATGTAGATAAGTCTGTACAATTCATATTGATTCTAGACCATATCACATTAGGTCTCCAACCCCTGGTTTCCATTGTCATGCGGACTCCATTTGGGAAGTCGATATATATCTCCATGTCCCAGACCAACACTCAGAGACTGAGACTGATAACATGGTTTAGTCTACCTTTTTCAAACCTCAACTTACTCTAGCTAATATTCTGCCAAGAAGCGGACGGTAACTAACCATCCGTAGGATACATCTCAGCCGCCTGAGTGAATGAAGTTTCACAACTTCATCAACCGACTTCCCTCCCTTTTCTAAAACTACACCTGACGTTCACGTTACTGACGTGGTGGTACCATTACACACGACCGGTTTATAATACGAATGCAACAGTGGTCGAACATCTGAAGCTTTTTCATACCTTACGCCTTTAATGAACATGTTTCATAACCACGTGATAAAACAAATTGAAATACAGAGCAGTACGCTCCATCCTTAAGAAGAAATCGGAAATCACGGCGGTGCCACAGATTGGATAAGTCAATAAAAGCCAGTAGAATCCTTTGTATCTACACAGAAATGTTTCAGTCACTGACCCACCAAGGCTAATCCGACTTCCCAGGTAAGTGAAGTGGTCAACACACTCAACCACTTCGCACCCTATTGTCAGCCGAGGCACCACTGAAGACCAGTCCTGAAGCCACAATTTGTATTTTGGTGGCGAGAGATGCATCCCAAACATTCTCAAGTTGCTACTCAATGTGTACAGAAGACTCTGTATTCATCTAACACGACTATATCATCCGTCCATTAGAATATGTCTACTAAGAAGTCTTCTGTCACAAGATCCATCCCTGTAAAGCCAGTGTTCTGCACATCGTTCTATTCGTCTCCTCTGCCAGTGGACAGCACACCCATCTTTTTCTGCAATAGTTTCACTAACCATTGACCTTTTTTCCCAGTTTTCCGTAATAATTCTGAGTAACTGTC